GATGAAGGATATCATGTTTGGTAAGGTGGAAAAAGAGGAAGAGCACCAACAAGATGAATTGGCCAAGTAACAGCATCAATGGACACAAGCGTGGCAACAGTAGTGAGGTTGGCCCAGGATTGAGCAGTGTTTCATTCTGCTGTGCATAAGGTCGCTATGGGTTGGTACCGACTCGATGGCACCTAACAACAAGCTTACCAGGAGCTCTGGTAGTATAGGCCTCGGAAACCCTATATATGGTCTCTATGAGTCAGAACCAACTCCACAGCACACACCACCATCAACATGTAAGCTTACAGTTTTTTATTTATGGTGGTGGTGGTGCTTGTTATGTGCTGGGGGGTTGGTTCTGACTCATTGGCACTTAACAGCCTAACACCAACAGCATAAAAAACATACACAAAGAACTAACAAATACCTATCTAATTTCATTTATTCATTAATGCAGGTTGATATCACTACAGATTAATACAGAAATGGCTTAAGCTGAAAAAAAAAGATATAAAGAAAATATTTTCATATTTCATAGGAATTGGCTTATTATTTGCTATTAGGCTATGATTATCATTCAGAGAGAATCTAAATCTCTTCCCTTCATCTTTTGTGTGTCAGGATCTGCCACTCTTCCCATAAATAAAATTGATTCTAGAGAAAGAAAAAATAAATAGAACATTAGGAATTTCAGAGAAAAAAAATGCTAACAATTAGTTTTTCTTAATTTTTAATACATCATTTCATCTTTTTTCTCTTTAAGATAGATAGACAATGCCTAATAACCAAGCCTTCCTCTTTGTCTAAAATGCATAATTATATCATTATCAATGACTTTCTGAGATATTTGAAGTAAATTAATATCTACAACAGCTCTTCATGGAACATGCATTCATCTTGTTTTTCTTATAAGAAAGCAAAAATAAGTGACAGAGAGGTGTTCTTCTAAATATAGAGACCCAGTCAGGCAAACATAGCATAATAATATGGTGATGAACATGGTAGAATTTTAAATTTAAAGCATTGGCAGTCATGTTTTTGGGCATGTAATGTAAACCCGGAGGGTTAAAAGTGTAGCTTTTCAGCAATCCTCATTCAACTCTGAATCAAAGCTTACTGATAAAGACAATATTTTCATAGTGTTAGTGGTTTCAAATCCTCACTGAGGTGATAGCCTATACCGCATAAATGCAAACACCTGTTTCCAGCCATGCTATGTTTTCAAGTGAAAAGAAAGCAAGAACTACAGGACAAAACAGAAATAAATGACCTGTCAAAATCCTTTCACCTTTCTTTTCAACTAAGATAAGGAAAGTGGCTTGAATAAATCAATGTCAAGTGTTGCATTGACTTAAATTTTTTACACTCAGAGAAAATCAAGATTAATTTCAAAAGTGAAAATATTTTTTTTTACATACTTTTAAAGCAAATGGATAAGATATCTAAATGTATTTGAAAAAACATTGGAAGAGCTCTTTTTCATTAACTCCTGATACCAAAATGCCAACTGAGGTTGGGTCAATTATGATGCATGGTGTGGTGCCATCAAGTAAGCACTGAACTGCTAACCATAAGGTGGGCAATTCAAACCCACTAGTCGGAAACCCTATAGAGGATCGCTGTGAGTTGGAACTGACTCAAAAGCACTTAACAACAACACAACAGCAACCCTATAGGACAGAGTAGAACTGTCCCATAGGTTGTTGAAGTCTGTAATCTTTATAGAAGCTGACTGCTACTTCTTTCTCCCACAAGCAACTGATGAGTTTGAACAGCTCAGCTGACCTATCAGTTAGCAGTCAAGTGCTTAAGCCACTACACCACTAGGGCTCTTTAACTATTGATTGTTGTTGTTGTTGTTAAGTGCCGTCGAGTCGGTTCCGATCCATAGCGACCCTGTACAGGGTTTCCGAGGGTGTAAATCTTTACAGAAGTAGAAAGCCTCATCTTTCTCCCACAGAGCGACTGGTAGTTTCGAACCGCTGACCCAATTCGTAACCACTACGCTACCAGAGCTCCTTTAACTATTGATTATTAAGTTTGAAAACAGACACACTCTTAGAAAGGCAATAACACAGAAATAGACATAATCGCCAGTATATTGTTTTAAAATGAGTAATTATAACCAATAATGCTTTGCCTCAGGATCTCAAAATAATCCTGGGATAAAGAAAACAAATACTGTTGTTTTGAACACAGTAAATAAGAGATGAATATTAATTATATTTAGTCCTGGTAAAAATGGGCAGTGAGTCTTCCATCTTGACAATGCTCCTTCATTAAAATACATATTGCAATTATTTGCTAGGAAAATGCCTTAGTTACTTTGATAAATAACTAACTTCATCATTGAAGACAGTAATTTAAATTTTAAAATATTTTTAATTTTTTTTAATTTAAAAGAAGTAGAAGGCATTGTACCTAAGGAATTTGGCCTCAGCCATTTCTGTTTTTGACCAAGGAGAAGCACATTTTGAATTGAATCTTCATGCACTCACTAATCTACTCATGATTAAATTGGGAGGATTAATGAAATCTCCTTTGGCATAATAGAATGGAGTTAGAGGCGGACTGAAGTAGATTTTATTACTGTTTTCCTTTTTCTCTTCATGACCTCTTACTGCAGAAGGTATCCCTAATATTTAACAAATATGTTTCTCTAAAATTTCTGTCAAATGAAAATAACTTTGATCTTTCAATATTAAAATACAATAGCATAACCCAAACTAATATCCTAAAAAACAGATTTCTTAATAAATAACCTTAAGTTCTTGTTTATCCCCTAAATTTAAGAACCAAAAGAGTTGTAAAAAGGTTTAATTAATTTTTTTCTTTTCTTTTACGTGTGCTGGTTAGTGGTGGTTACGTGCAGTGGCGTGGCTTCCAACTCACAGGGACTGTGTATAGAGTTTCCAAGGCTGTAAAATCTTTACGGGAGTGGAAAGCCTAATTTTTCTCCTGCGGAATACCTGGTGGTTTTGAACTGCTGACCCTGAGGTTAGCAGCCTGACTTGTAACCACTATGCTGCCAAAGCTGGGGTTTTTTTTTAATTTTGTTTTGTTTTTACTGTCTTTTTCAGCGTCATAATTCACTGCTTTTTCAGAAATGGTATACTTTATTCAGCATCTTTCACAATTTTCTTCTGAAAGTCTTTAAAAGTGTCCTGTACCCACAGTGTGAAAGAAGGGAAAAGAAGTTCTTTGTTGTTCTGGAAGTCTGACTTAGTAGCTTTAAATGATTATGTTGCTGTTGTTGTTCAATGCTGTTGAGTCACTTCTAACTCACAGAGGCCCTGTACAGGGTTTCTGAAGATGGACTGCTAGGTTTGAATCACTGACCTTGTAGTTAATAGTTAATCCTTATCCTACAGAATCACACCAGGACTCCTCGAATGACAATACTATAAAACAATACAAAATTTTCTTAAATTGTTGTTGTTAAGTGCCATCGAGTTGTTTCTGACAATTTAAATAATATATTGATGGTGCATAGAATTGTTTTGGTCAAAAGAAATCTAAAATCTAGATTAAACATTGGTTTTAATAAACCTAAAAGCAGTTATCCTCACACTTTAGATATTTTCAAATGGATTTACTTTATGTAAAGCACTGAGCATTGAATAGCTCACAGTGGCTATGCTAAGTCATCGTGTTTGTTAATCTCAATGATATCTTGAGTTCATTTGTGAGAGAGAAAAATAAATCACTGAATGTGTATTGTCCTAAGATAATAGGCTATTCTACATTTTATATGGCAACAATTTACAACCCCTGATAAATGAGTGGCCATTTGTTTTAAAACAGTATTTTAAGGGAGTCATCCTGGTTTCTAATTTCATTATAATAAAGAACATAAAACTGTAGAAACTGTCATTATGGTCTGATAGTTAAGCATTATCACAAGTAAATAAGTAAGTGGATTATTTGGGATTTTGAATCTTCACTGCTGTTTTACTGATAGCTATTCTATAACATGTCATCAGCTTAAAAAGTATTGAGTCAAACATAATTATTGTCATTATTTCCTTGTGCACTGATGCCCAATTCTGCCTCATTTCTTTCTGTTCTCCATACTCAATAACCATATACTAATTATAAGAAATTAGAGTCATCCAAAGGTTAAAGATACATAGATCAAACGATATGCTCAGACTATATATTTAACATTGACACAAACACAACTGGAAAAGAAGTTGTGTTAATACAATCTCAGCAATTCTAAAACTCTTCTCTTGTTTCCAAGAAATAATTTGTAGAAAAATCACACAGCATTCATTTCTTGGAACCTAGAAATAAAGGAGCTCTGGTAGCGTAGTGGTTACGAATTGGGCTGCGACCCGCAAGGTCAGCAGTTCGAAACTACTAGCTGCTCCTTGGGAGAAAGATGAGGCGATCTGCTCCCGTAAAGATTTACAGCCTCGGAAACCCTGTTCAGGGTCGCTATGGGTCGAAACCAACTCGACGGCACTTAACAACAACAACATATATTCAGGAGACTGATAATATCTGTATCCTTAGTAATGTAACAGATTCAGATTCTGAGTTTAGTTACATCTCTTTTCATGTACTGGGCATCTAGGGAAATTTCAGTTTTTTCTTTCTTCATTTTATTTGCTTATATTTACAGATTCATTGATACTGAATCTTTAGTAGACATAGTGTTACAGGCTTAGCATATCCTTTTATTTAACTCTGTAAGATGTGTATTAATACATAGTTCAAATAGGAAATGGAGAAAATGTGTTTTAGGAAGGACAGATAAATTGTCTCATAACTATTTGTTGAGTTAATTGAGCTGGGACTTGAGCTCAGATCTGATAAGTAAGCCAATACTCTCAGTCTCTAGGGATAGAGATACACATCACTTTGCCAAATACTAGTTTAAATACAGAAATGCATGGGATATGATTTATGCAATCCTGTGGCTCATAAGTCTCAACAGGTGTTATGACTCTTGAAGTCTGAAGTAGAGATAAAGAAAACATCTCTACTATATATGTACATTTCTGGCCTTTCTTTTCTGCAAAAGAAAGTGCTGAAGCATCTATACAAATTACCTGGAGTGGCATGTGTTGACATTGTGTCAAATTCCAACCCAACCCAGTATTTCTTCTATATTTCCTTTTATAGCTAGCTACATCATAGCTCACAATTTGCTCAAGTTGGAAATTATGTCAAACTTCTACCTCCCCCTGAGACACTATATTCAGTGACTTAAGTCTTCTTCAAAGTTTAACTCTTCCCTCTCATCTCAAACTATAAATTTAATCAATTACTAAATATTTTTCAACCTGCCTTTAACATCTTGTTGTTTGTTATTGTGAAGTGCCACTGAGTCAGTTGTGACTCATACAGACCCTGTATAGATTTGCCAAGCAGCGACTGGTGAGTTTGAACCACCAACCTTGTGGTTCAAACCAACTTTTTGGTCTAATGCTTATCTTACAATGCCACACCAGGACTTAGATAACTCTATTGCCACTCACCATTTCCATCTGTCTTTCTCATAGAAAGAACGTTGATTTCAGAGAAGAGATTGGGTCCAATTCCCATTCTACCTCTTTCTAGTTATGCAATATTGGACAAATAACAAAAATTCTCTGAGCTTATATATCTATACATCAACTATCTAGCCTATTGGGTTGACATTAGCCTTAGGAACAGATATATACAATGAGTAGAACATATAATAGCTGTGGTGGCAGTTGTTATCTCTGCCCTGTTTTAGGCCCGGCCACTTCTTGAAGAAACCTTGGTTGTTCAGTGGTTAAAGAGCTAGGCTGCTAACAAAAAGTTCAGAGGTTATAACCTCTGCAAGAGAAAGCTGTGGCTGTCTGCTTGCATAAAGATTGTAGCCTTGGAAACACCATGGAGACAGTTCCACTCTGCCCTGTAGGGTCTCTGTAAGTCAAAATCAACTCAATGGCAACAGGTTTGATTTTACGGTTTTCTCTTGAAATTCACTACCTGGTACCAAGTAGGCACTAGGCAAATATCTGCTGAAAGAATAAATTATTTCAAATCTATAGATTTCAATTAGCAGATCAGACAAGGTCTGCATTAACTTAAGCAATTCCCCCAATAAATTCTAAATAAAGGTACCTGTTGGGTTATTCCTCAAAATAAACAGAAATGGGTGGTTTGCTATGAATTGGTTTCGAGGCAGACTCATGATTGCAGGGACATGCAAGCCTATAAAATAGAGATGACAGTTATTTAGCTGTTCACTTGAAAAGATCAGTAAAGAAAACATATCCCAAATACTGTTTGTAGACAAGAAAGGTCACATTGTCTGAGGAGTGAGCACGTGTAAAAATAACCATTTTCTAACTACAGAAAAATTTGTAATAAATTTTAAAACTAAGGAGCAGAAGAATAAATATTGGCTCATTCATGAATAATTCTATCTTCACATTTATGCTCAATGAAAAAGAAAACCAGATAATAAATCCAATTTAATGAAAGCAGCTGAAACATTTCATTCTTTAAATAGTAATTTTCTTCTCGCTTTTTATTTACTTATATGATTTATTCTAACAAACTTTTCAACTCTTAATTCCTATAGCGATATGTTTGCATATTATTTCTATTCTTCACGCTTGTAGTAATAACATCTAAGTTCAAATTTATTTTTACTTGCTTTTCCAAAATTGCTTTGTGAGCTCAGAGCTTTTAGGATTTGTTCAGTGTGGATGTGCAGGGAATTTTTTTTTTTTTTGAGATTAGAAGCAGATATTTTCTGACTTAAAAATTATTAACTGTGATAATTCCGTATCATGCCATTGTGAGACAATTTAAGTGGTTGGATTTTTCTCATCATAGGTTAAATATATCTACACTCAATTGAAACGTTTTCTTTACCAATAATGCAATAATTTTGTACAATTATTTTCAGAATTAAGGAAACGTAATTTTAAAAATATATGTGATTAAAATTGAAAAATGATCAAATCTATCCTAAGTAAGTTAATATGCATGGCACTCTTCTATTAGAAATAAAAGGGTTATGCTACCCAAATTACTTATGTCTGAATTGCAATAAATCCAAAAAACAAAGCCAATAGCTTCTGAATTAGGTCAAGACTCTTACTCTTATTTGTTGTGAACACTTAGGTGTTTTGTTGTTCCTAAGAAGCCCAAAAGAGTAGAAATTCACAGATTGACAATTCTGAAGTTTTAGGTTTGACGCCCCCTAATAGTTGCAACAGACTACAGTGAAGAGAGCCCTAAACTGGAAATCAGGGGACCCAATTCCAATTCATTTTTACCATCAATTGTAAGTTTGACTTTGATTTTACTGTTAGTTATGAGCCTCTCCACATTGCTGAGTCTGTTTCTTCCAAAATAAATATAAGGATTTGACTTTGATATGTAAGGCCTCTTCCAGTTCTATGTAAGAAGAGCTGAAAAATTGTATATGTAGGCCAGCAAACTCATCGAAATGCAACTTTTTTCTTTCTCCAAGGATTTAAATGGCTTATTCCCTTCAATCAAATTTCGCAGAGCACAACAAAGTAAAGTCTTTCAAGAAATGATGGAATAATAGCAGGAGTCTATTGTATTCATCCAAATGTTAAAGACAATTAGCACAATGTAACAAATTATAAATTAATGAAAATTTTGATAAATTATGGATATGCATCAATTAGACATTTAAATGATACATTTCTTTTAAATATTGGTTAAAATTCAAGTAGTATGAGTAATTAAAATAAATTTATTTGGTATTTATTACAGTTGTCTTTCTACTTCTTGTTGACTAAAGGCTTTTCTCCAGTGGATTTTTTGAGTATTGAATACTTGAATGCAGCATGGTGGTGGTGGTGGTGATGTGCCACAGAGTTGGTTCCAACTCATAGCGACCCTGTACAGGGTTTCCAAGGCTGTAAATCTTTACAAAAGCAGAAAGCCTCATCTTTCTCCCACGGAACAGCTGGTAGTTTCAAACTGCCAATCTTACGGTTTGCAGCCCGATTCATAACCACTACACTACCAGAGCTCCTTTGAATGCAGCATAGATACTATTTAAAATGGCATTTAGTCAAAGATATGTAATACAGAGGTATAGTTATTAAACTGAAATGTTCATACCAGTGACCTTGAAATCTTGGATTCAGTAGCTCTCTAGGGTTGGACATGAGATTCTACATTTCTAAAAAGTTCCAATGGATGCAGACGCTGCTGGTCTATGCATGCAGGACAGCTGAAAAAGTTACAAGCCACTCTAGAGAAGTGATTCTCAACCATGAATGCACACTGGAACCACTTGGGGAGCCTTAATAAAATACTAGGTCATCAAACCCAGAGATACTGATTTAATTGTTTTAGGCTGTGGCCAGGGCACAAGCGTTTTTAAAGTTCCCCAGGTGATTTTAATGTACAGTTAAGCTTGAGAACCATAGAGAGATGAACAAGAATCAAATTAGAAAAGTGAAGATTAACTTAATGGAATAATGAAAATAATTCAATTACTTAAGAATAAACATTCCTAAAAAATAATGATTTAATGTTTGAGTCCTGAAGTTTTATCCTCAATTACTTAATTCCCATCTACTAACTGACAGTATCCACATATCAGTAGCTACACCTCAACACCTAATCAAATCCCTGTTCTTCCCTTCTGTGTAAAGCTGTAGCTGCAGAGATGCATAAACAGTTTATGCAACAGTATTCTTTTTTCATCCTATTGTAAACAAAACAGGAGAAATGAAAAGGAGATCAGAGTACTGGAAAGCAACCAACACTGTAGGGCTCATTTCTCCATAATCTTTTCTCCTAGATTGTTGGGATAATATTTGGCCTACCCGTTGATGTTGAAGCTTCACTGCCATCTTCATTTATCTCAAAGAAAACCTTTTGCATGACTTGAGAAACATACACCTCAGATGACTCTAGTGAAAACATGAAAGTGTAAATACACTTTGGTTAAAATCGGGAGATAGTATCTAGTAAACCACAGATTAATTACATTTTCAAATTATGCAGCAACAACAAAAAGGCGAAGAAGAAAAACTCTTTATGTTAGTCAATTTGCTAGAGAGAAAGGCAATCAAGGATTAACTCTTATAGAGATGATATCAGGTGAGTTCTGATATAAAAGATATAGACAGAAGATTATAAGTCCCAAATCATGAATCCCACCATGTGAAATAATTTTAATGAACAGAGAGTTTTACCATCCTGAATCTTGGCCTCCCAACAGGATGAAAACAGGTTTTAGGTTTGAATTAATTCCACCCTGTGTGTTCAACCACAAAGCCAACTTGTCTTTTAAACTCTGGGTTTGGTTTTGATCTGGTTTTAAAGTAAAATTTACTTCCTTTCAAGACAGTGGGGTTATGAAAGTCTAAAGAGCTTTTGTGTCATCTGTTACAAAATCACTTCAAAGTTATGCTTTAGAACCTGTTAAATTTTTCAGTGTAAGGTAGTGGTTTGCAACCTTTTGTTCCGCTGAGGATACAAGCTGAGAGAGAATGTCCCTCTTCTCTCCTTAGTGGAATTGGTGTATGTGCAAAGTGTCTTTGATATAGTGACCTACAAAGATAGGCTTCTTGAGAAGGGAGAAGTGAATCATGAGTTCAGAACCTGTCAACCATCCCTGCTGTGATGAGATCAGATCTGACAGTGGTTTAGTGGTGGTAAGAGAACCGAGGAGAGGAAAGTGGGTCTTGAATCTTAGAGAGAATGGAGAACTTGAGAGAGAAGACTGATGTGATGAAGGCAATCTGCATTTGCTGCTATCTATGAAGAAATACCTTACTAAAGAGGAACCAGATCTGATTTACTTAAAAATAAATCCCTTTCAAGTAAGAAAGCAAGAAGAACTGAACATTAACTATGTACCAAGTGAGGAAGTCAGTGACTTACATATACTTTTTATGTTTTCCCCTCCTTTTACATTACATGCCTCCAAGTCATGTCTGACTCATAGGAACCATGTATAACAAAACAAAGCATTACCCAGTCCTAAGCCACCCTCACAAGGAGCTATGGTAGCATAGTGTTTACAAGTTGGGAGAAAGATGAGACTTGCTGTAAAGATTTATAGCCTTGGAAATTATGCAGGGTCACTATGAGTCAGAACTGACTCCAAGGCACACCACCACCACCACCACTATGTCATCCTCACAACAGGGTATATTATCCAGCTTAATAGATTATAAAGTGTTGTTGTTGTTAGGTGCAGTTGAGTTGGTTCCAACTCATAGTGAGCCTCTGCTCAACAGAATGAAACACTGCCCAGTCCTGCACCATCCTCACAATTGTTGTTAGTCTTGAATCCTTTGCTGCTGCCATTACGCAAATCCATTTCATTGGTGACATTTTTCATGGACCCTGCACTTCTCCAGGGACTGGTTCCTCCTGATCACATGTCTGAAGTATGAGAGATGAAGTCTCACCATCCTGACTTCTAAGAAGTATTCTGATTATAATTTTTCCTGAATCTATCTTCTCAGATTATTTGCTCAGCATAAAGATTGAATAGGTACAGTGAAAGAATACATCCCTAGAGCAAAACTTTCCCTGATTTTAAACCATTCAGTATCACCTTACTCTATGCTAACAACTGCCCTTAGTCTATGTACAGGTTCCTAATGAGAACTATTATTAAGTGTTAAGGAATACTAATTCTTTACAATGTTATCCATATTTTGTTATGACTCAAACAGTAAAATGTCTTTGCATAGTCAATAAAACACAAGTATGTCACTGTACATAAGCACTACTGTTATAACCATAAGGTTAGCGGCTCTAACCCACTAGCTGATCCTTGGAAATGCTATTTAGCATTGCTTGGCAGTACTTAACAACAACAGTATCTTTCTGGTATTCTCTACTTTCAGCCAAAATGCATCTGATGTCATCAGTGGTATCATTCATTCCAAGTCCTCTTTTGAATCTAGCTTGAATTTCTTGCAGCTCCATGTCAATACACTGTTACCAAAATTTTTGAATGATCTCCAGGAAAAAAATTATTTTCATAAGGTATTAATGATATTGTTTGATGTCCATTGGGTCATCCTTCTTTGGAAATGGACACAAATATTGTCTTTTTCCAATAGGTAAGCCAGGTAGCTATCTTCCAAATTTCTTGGCATAGACAAGTTAGTGCCTTCAATACTGCATCAGTTTGTTGAAACATTTCAGTTGGTCTTCCAGCAATATCTAGAGCCTTGTTTTTCACCAAGGCCTTCAGTGTGGCTGGAATTTCCTCCTTCAATACCAATACTTCTTGATCATATGCTACCTTTTGAAATGGTTGAGCATTAACCAATTCTTTTTGGTACTGTGACTCTGAGTATTTCTTGCATCTTCTTTTGCTGTGTCCTATATCATTCAGCTTGAGGACTAAGGTGCACCTGCCCCAAGCCATGGTATTTTCAATAACCTTATATGCATGCGAAAGTTGGACAGTGAATAAGGAAAACCATATAAGAATTGATGCTTTTGAGTTATGGTGTTGGAGGAGAATATTGAAAGTGCCATGGGCTGCCAAAAGAACAAACATCCATTTTGGAGGAAGTGTAGCCAGAGTGCTCCTTGGAGGCCAGGATGGCCAAAACTTTGTCTCTCATACTTTGGACATGTTGTCAGGAGGGGCCAGTCACTGGAGAAGGATATCATGTTTGGTAAGGTGGAGGGTCAGAGAAAAAGAGGAAGACTCCCAGCAAGATGGATTGGCAATATGGCAGCATGAATGGGCTCAAGTGTGGCAGCAATTGTGAGGTTGGTCCAGGACTGGGCAGTGTTTCATTCTGTTGTGCGTAGGGTCTCTATGAGTTGGTACTGACTCGATGTCACCTAACAACAACAACATATCATTCAATATTTTGTTCATAGATTCCTTCATTATTGCAACCCAAGGCTTTCTTCTTTCATCTTGAGAAATGTTAAGCTCTTTACCTTTTGGTTTTCTAATTCCAGGTCTTTGCACATTTCATTATAATATTTTTTTCTTCTCGAGCTGGCCTTTGAAATTTTGTGTTCTGTTCTTTTCCTTCATCTATTCTTCCAATCACTTTAGCTTCTCTATGTTCAGGAGTACACTTCAGAGTCTCTTCTGACATCCATTTCTTCCTTTCCTATATTTTTAATTACCCTTTGGTTTCTTCCTGTATAATGTTCTTGATGTCATCCCACAACTCTTCTGTCATTAGTGTCTAATGCATCAAATCTGTTCTTGAGATGGTCTCTAAATTCAGATGTAATATACTCAAGGTCATAATTTGGCTCTAGTTTACGAATTTTATTTTGTATTCAGCTTTAGATTGAACTTACAATTGATGGTTGTTTCCACAGTTAGCCCCTGCCCTGATTTTGCCTGACAATATTGAGCTTTTTTATCTTCTCTTTCCACAGAGATAGTTAAATGTGTTTTCCATATGGTGAGATCCATGTTTATAGTTGCCATTTATGCGTTGGAAAAGTCTTTGCAATTAGTAAGTCATTGGTCTTGTAAAATGCTATCATGAGATCTCTAGAATCACTTCTGTTACCGAGGTCATATTTTTCAATTACTCTAATTCCAACTTTCACATTCCAATCACTAATAATTATCAATGCATCTTGATTGCATGTTTGATCAATTTCAGATTAAAGAATTTGGTTGTTGTTGTTGTTAAGTGTCATCGAGTCAGTTCTGACTCATAATGATCTTGTATAGGGTTTCCAAGGAGCATCTGGTAGGTTTGAACTGTGAACCTTTCAGTTAGCCATCCAGAGTATCCTACAGCAGCACACCAGAATTTGGTAGAATTCATCAATTTTGTCATCAATTATTTTAGTGGTTGCTGTGTAATGTGAGTAATATTGGTATTAACTAGTCTTCCTTGTAGGCGTATAAATATTATCTTATCATTGGCAGCATTTTACTTCAAAATCGATCTTAAAATGTTTTTATTGAAAGTGAACACAATGCCATTTCTCTTGAATTTGTCATTCCCAGTATAAAAGACCGTATGATTGTCTGATCCAAAATTACTTATACCTGCCCATTTCAGCTCTCTAATGCCTAGGATATCAATCTTTATGCATTCCATTTCATTTTTGATGACTTCCAATTTTTCTGGATTCATACTTCGTACGTTCCATATTCTGATTTTTATTGAATGTTATAGCTATTTCTTCTCATTTTGAGTTGTGTCCTATCAGCAAATGAAGGCCCCAAAAGCTTTGTTCCATCTATATCATTAAGGTCAACTCTACTTTGAGGAGATAGCTCTTCCCAGTCATATTTTGAGTGCCTTCCTACCTGAAGTGCTCCTGTCCTGGCACTATGTCAGATAATTTCCCATGCTATTCAGTGGCTTATCATTTATAAGTAGTCTGTCTCTTTTTCTTCCTAGTCTGCAAGCTCCACCGTGCTGGTAGTTAAAATACTGGTGACATTTCTTCCAGCATCACAGAAACATACTAGCCACTACAATACAGCAAACTGACAGACAAGTGGTGGCCTCCTCCTCTAGGACACCTAATTTAGTCTATTCATTTTCTCATATAATTGAAAAATACATTAATTAATTATTGCTTCTCCAAACACAACATAGAAGTATTGTGAAAATGTTTTGGTTATTTATATAGGAATAACCAAAACATTTTCACAATACTTCCATGTTGTAATGCAAAATCCCTTCAGACAAATAAGCTCTTTATATAAAATAGAAGCTTGAATATAAACAAAAGTTAAGTAACTGGGAACAAATTAGCCCTCTTTATACAATTTTTCCCTTGAGTTAGTTATTTTTGAACTAGTGGGTACAGTCAAGGCAAGGAAAATTAAAAGACTGTCCTTGGCTTTGTTGTGTAAGGGAGAATATTTGTTGTTTTGTTAAGAGCTGTTGAGTCCGTTCCAACTCATAGCGACTCTGTATAGGGTTTCCAAGGAGCTTCTGGTGAGTTTGGACCACAGACCTTGTGATTCAAACCAACTTTGTGGTCCAGAGCTTATCCTACAGCACCACACCAAGACTCCAAGGGAGACTCTTTAACCATGTGTAATTTACCAGGTGCAAGCAGAGGTTTATCTAAGGAAAATAACACCTATGGCAATTAGTTTTAAATTGCTTAATGATCTCTCACAACTGACAGTGAAAGCTGTGATGGAAAATACAAACTACTCATTGTCACCCAGGACATGTGCTCTACCTGCCATACTCTAGATATGTCTGTGAGGGCAAGTTAACAACACATATGAATTCCATCTTCTCACAATAGTTGTCAGTCTAAAGGACTATGCTGCTAAATCTGCAATCTGTAACATTACAATTTCTCATCCAGCAAATTGTAAATGTCTGTTTCAAAGGTTTTAATATGAATTAACATTTGCAAATTGCCACATAAGAACTTTATTAGCTTTGCTTAGATGAGAGCCTCAAAGTTGTAATTTCCATTATTCAGAAAAAGAAATCCAACCAGGGCCTAAACAAAAGCCCATATAATACATTTGCCTACATGGTTTCATTACAAGCATGGCTAGAAGGCTTATCTAATATTCTAAAATGCTTTTTGACTTTCATTAAGGAAAACTACTTAAATGCAAAATAAGAGTACTTGTTTACAGACAGCTCAACAAGACTATGACATTTATTCACCGTGCATGTACTGTCTGAGGCTGAATGCTTTCAGCTCTAAGATCCGACAGTTAATATAGTCAACTAAGAAAACATATTAACATGATAATATAAGAATTATTTATCATATTACCTGTTATTCCAGAAAGGTCACAGCCACCACTAAATATCTCAGTTATATTCAAAGAATACAAAGCTTCTTTGAAGTCTAATTTTTGTTCTATTTTAAATCTGTTTTAAAAAAAATGAAGAAGGAATTTATTAAACACTGTACATGCTTGCAACCAAGAAACTTTTTGTAAAATGACTTGGAAGGTTTTATATAGAGAAATCTTTTCTTTCATTAACACAATTACATTTTCTCACATTTCACACCATTTCCCCCCCAGGGCCACTGATTTCTTCTGTGTTGTTGTTTATCATTTGTTTCCCAGAAAAATGGTTAGTGGGGAGGAGGAGGAGGAGAGAATGCCCTATTTCTTGAAGTAACATTTACTCAACAAAACAGAGTGAAAGTTCTAAGTTTTCAATTGCTTGCTTTCTTCCAAAGAAATTTAGAAGTTCCCTACAGCAATGTTATATATTCAAGTTCTTCACACCATCAAACATGTCTCCTGGCAGACATCCAAGATACTGTATTATCAGGGAACAAAGAGCCAACAGTCCTTGGAATAGATTGTTGACTACTGGGGTAGAGAGGAGCAATAATAACCTATCATCCATCTCTTCAATGGATTGAATTGTTATAGTTGAAGTGTCTTCCTTCAGCTTATGGACACACCCAATAGCTTCCCAGTAGTACCCATAAATGTGTAAAAGACATGGGGAAGAAAGGCTCTGGTCTGTGTTTTCAGTCCATAAATCACGACTACAGCATCCAACTGTGATGCTTTAATTGGTTTCACCTGTGAATGGGGAATTTAACCATATACTCTCAAGGAGTCCCTCAAGCACCAGTCTTTTATAATTCCAAATTAACAGCTAACAGTAAACCTCATTTTCCCACTTAAATAGAAAAGAAAAAAAAGAAGTTGATATTTCATTCACTTTGTTGTTGTTGTTGTTGTTGTTAAGAGCCCTCATGTACATGGTTTCTGAAGAGCAGCTTATCCTACAGTGCCACACCAGGCTTAAAGCATCAATTAGGTCAGCTGTTCGAATCTACCCATTGCTCCTCAGGAGAAAGATGAGGCTTTCTCTTCCTAAAGCCTATACAAAGTCACAATATAAATCAAAACTGACTCCACAGCATACAACCATCACAAGCAAAAACATCACTTTTCAGTTTGAAACTGGGCTGAAAATTCTTTCTGAAGAAAAGGCCCATAAGCAGGAAGTCATATGTATTTTCTACATCAGCAAAATTCCTGGTCAACTCCTTCCTAAACAGGTCTATGAGTGCCTTAATAGGCATTTGTCCCTGTGCTGCCAGGTTTGGCACATCATACTGAAGTACAATGCTGTCTGTGATAGGATAATATCCATACTCCTATAAGGAAGACCAGTTAATACCACTATATTTGAATTTATGCAACAACTATTAAAGCCAGTGATGATGAAATTGAAGAATTCTGACAAATTTTCAGTTGAAATTTGATCTAACATGTAATCAAGATGCATTGATAATTACTGATAATTGAAATGTGGAGGTTGGAAACAAAGAGGAATGATCAGTAGTTGGAAAGTAAGGCCTTAGTGATAGAAATGATTCTAGAGATGACATGGTAGAATTTTGAAACATCAATGACTTTTTCATTGCAAACAATATTTTCTAAAGCAACTAAACAGGGAAGTATGCACATGAACCTCACCAGATAAAATAATAGGCATCAAATTAACTACATCTGTGGAAAAGGATGGTGAAAAAGCATAATATCATCAGTTAAAATGAGGCCAAAGGAAGATAGTGAAACAGACCATCAGTTGCTCGTATGAAAATTCAGGCTGAAGAAAATTAAAACAAGTCCATTAGAGTTAACATATGACATTGAATTTAGAGACCGTCTCAAGAATAGATGTGTTGCATTATACTCTAATGACCAAAGACCAGAAGAGATGTGGGCTGACATAAAGAACATCACACAGGAAGAAAGTTAAAGGTCACTTAAAAAACAAGAATGGCAGAAAATACCAAGAGGGATGTCAGAAGACACTCTGAAACATGCTCTTAGAAGAAATAAAGAGATAAAAGAGCTAATCAGAAAATTTCAAAGGGCAGCTCAAGAAGACAAAGTCAATTATTGTCATGAAGTATGCAAAGACTTGGAGTAAGAAAACCAAAAGGGAAGAGCACATTCAGAATTTCTCAAGCTGAAACCTGAAGAAAAAATTCACATCTCCACTTGCAATATTGAAAGACTCTGTTGAGTCAGAACCTACTCAACATCACTTAAGACCAACAACAAATGGGCAAAATATTGAATGATGCAGAAAGCAACAAAATAAGATGGAATGAATATACACAGTCAACGTACCACAAAGAAATGGTCGATGTTCAACCATTTTAAAACATGGCATATGATCAAGAACCATGGTACTGAAGGAAAAAGTCCATGCTGTACTGAATGCATTGATGAGAATAGGCTCCAGGAATTAAAGTTAATACCAATTGAAACGTTTCAACTAACTGATACAGCACTGGAAACTCTCACTGATCTATGTTAATTTGAAAGTCAACTGTGTGGTCAACTGATGGGAAGAGATTGTGCCCATTCCAAAGAGAGGTGATCCAACAGAATGTGGGAATCATCAAACAATAGCATTAATTTCACATTCAAATAAAATTTTGCATAAGATAATTAAAAAGTGGATGCAACAGTACATCCATAGGGATCTCTCAGAAATTCAAGCTAACGTCAGATGGCTATTGGCTGAAAGTAGAGACTAACAGAAAGATGTTTACTTGTGGTTCATAGACTATGAAAAGACTTCTGATTTTGTGGTCTATGATAAACATTGACTAACACTATGAAGAATAGGTATTCCTGAACACTTAATTGTGCTTATGAGGAACCTATACACAGACCAAGAAAAGTCAGTTGTTTGAAAAGGACAAGGGGATACTGAATGGTTTAAAATTTAAAAAGGTGTACACCAGAATTGTATATTTTCAGCATACTTATTCAATCATTACGCTGAGCAAGTAGTCCAAGAAACTAAATTACATTAAGAATGTGGCATCAGTATTGAAGGAAGACTCCTTAACAACATACAATATGTAGATGATACAACCTGGCTTGCTGGAAGTGAAGAGGACTTAAAATAATTACTGATGAAGATCAAAGAATATGACATTCAGTATGGGTTGCACATCAATGTAAAGAAAACAAAGACACTTAAAAATGGACCAATAAATAACATCATGATAAATGGAGAAAAGGTTGAAATTCACAAAGACTTCATTTTGGTTGGATCCCCAAACAATACTCACAGAAGCAGCAGTCAAGAAATCAAACAACATATTGCCTTAGGCAAATCTGCAGCACAAGTTCTCTTTAAAGTGTTAGAGCAAAGATATCAGTTTGAGGACTAAGGTGTGTGGCAGACCCAAGCCATGGTGTTTTCATTTGCCTCATATGCATATGAAAACTGGAAATTAATAAGAAGAATATAGAATAATTGGTGCATATAAATGATGTTATTGAAGAAGAATATTAAAAATACCATAGACTTTTAATGAAGAACAAACAAATCTGCCTTGAAGAAGTACAACCAGAATGCTCCTTAGAAACCAGGCTGGTTAGATTTTGTCTCTCATACTTCAGCCATGTTATAAGGAGGGACCAGTCCCAAGACAACGGCATCATATTTGTTAAAGTGGAGGGTCAGCAAAAAAGAAGAAGATTCCCAAGGAGACAGATTGACATAGGTGGCAGCAACGATGGACTCAAACATAACGAGAATTGTGATGCTGGCTCAGGACTGGGCAATGTCTGGTTCTGTTGTGCATAGGAAAGAGATGAGTCAAAACTGACTCAACATCACCTAACAACAACACTTGTGTTCAAGCACAGAATTCTTGTTTATATAATAGTGGGCTCATAACTTGAATGAGAAATTATTTTGGACAGTTTAATTAGATAATTGTTTTAATTGACAAATTCTGGATAGACTTCTCAATTATATTTCTTCAAAACAGTGAACATACTACAGCAGAATTTTAATTGGCTGAAATTATTTTTTGGTAAAATATTTTGTAGTTTTAGACGATGTAAAGTCATTCTAAGTCCTCTCCAGGTGGAAAATGCACATTAAAATTTACTGAAAATGAAAATAGCTTATTCATGCCAATGATTTTCAACTTTTTTCTTAGTAGCTTCCTACTAAAAAAGATAATATGCAGCAAAATGGCTTTCAGTGTTGGGTTTTTTTGTTTCTGTTTATTGCTTGTTTGTTTTTTACTGTTTATATTGCCACACTATTATATATATATTTATTTATAATCTGAATGGAGTTCAGGCCTCTAAACAGGTGAAGAGCAAATGTTCTAATCCAACCATAAACTGGCTATTTTTAGTATAATAGATGCGTAACTTTAGCATAATGACAAAAATACTGCAAGACTTATTAAAAGTTATTTTAACTCACACCATACATAGTCCTGGTGTGGTGCTGTGGGTTAATGCGCTGGACTACAAAGTTGGTTTGAATTGCAAGTTCAACAGTTCAAGTTCACCAGTTGCTCTCAGAAGCCCTGTGCAGGGTCACAATACGTTGGAACTGACTCGATGACACGTAACAGCAACAACAACATGGTCCAGTGAAACCTATAGCAATAGGAACACATTTAGCTATTTAGTGAATATGGTCTGTAGTCAATTTAAAATTATCAGTAATTATTGGGACCATGAATAATCAGATGTGAATTGTCACATCCATTTGTTGTTGTTGTTGTTAAGTGCCATCAAGTCGGTTCTGACTCATGGCAGCCATATGTGCAACAGAACAAAACACTGCCCAGTCCTACACCATCCTCACAATTGCTGCTACACTTGACCCCACTGTTGCTGCCAATGTGCCAATACTTCTCACTGGTGATCTCCCTCTGAGTTTTCACTGTCCCTCCACTTTAACAAGTCCCTTCTCCAGGGACTGGTCCCTCCTAATAATATGTCCAAAGAATCAGAGATGAAGCCTGGTTATCTTGGCTTCTAAGGAGCATTCTGGTTGTACTTCTTCCAACACAGATTTATTTGTTCTTCTGGCAGTCCATGGTACATTTAATATTCTCTAACACCATAACTCAAGTGCATCGATTTTTCTGTAGTAATCCTTATACATTGTCCAGATTTCACATGCATATGAAGTTATTGAAAATGCCATGGCTTGGGTCAGGAATACCTTAGTTTTCAAACTGACATCTTTGCTCTTGAATGTTCTAAAGAGGTTTTGTGCAACAGATTTGCCTAATACAACACGATATTTGATTTTTTGTTTGCTGTTTCCATGAATGTTGATGGTTGATCTTAGCATTTTTCAAAATTGAGGTTCATTTCCCCTGTTCCTTAACCTCCTTCAAAACTATCAAAAAGAAGAAAAAAAAATCAGCCCAAAGTAAAACAATGTATGGTGTGAATAGGCTGGTTAAACACTTAGTTAAAAAGACTACAACTCCTAAATAAATGCCTTAGCACATGCAAACTATCTATTTGCTTAGAAGATGTTGTTATTGTGGTTGTTAAGTGCTATCGAGTCAGTTCAGACTTATAGCAACCCTGAATAGGGTATCTGAGGAGTGATCTGGTCAGCTTGAACCACCAATTTTGTGGTTCAAACCACTTCGCAGTCAAGCGCATTAACCCACACTGCCACACCAGGACTCTGCTTAAAAGATAGTTTACTTCTGAATGTAACCATCATGCATAAACAGGTGTCACAGAAATGAAAGTGCTGAAAATGGAAGAGAACAATTCAGATTTTCAGTTTTAAGATGGACCTACACGGCACATAACCACCAGCACCACTCCTGGTCTGAAGACCTTACTCTGGATTGGTATTGGTGAGTCTCTCTCTAAATCTCTATCCTTAGTATTTGAATTCCCACTTTTGATTCAGGAGCTCTTGTTGGAACTTTCAGTTCTCTAGCCAACCAAATCATAGCTTAAAGTTGCTTACAAAGATAAAATATAAAACAATCTTTAATGGTGGTGAACTTAACTTTCCAACTAAGTATCTACTGGTGTGTGTGTGTGTATGTAAGAGAGAGAGAGAGTGTGTATGTATGTGTGTGTATGAAATGCTTTATTATCCTCATGGACACTGAGTACTAAACTCAAAACATTTTCTGTCATATATGAAATGTATCAGGACATTTTTCAATGTAAGATTGAGATTCCTGTTTGTATCAGTGTCCCACAGTACAAAACGTAATAATGATTACATTTTGTAATCATTATTGCAGCTGGTCATGACATATCTGTTCCCATACCCAGCCTCATTTTCCCTGGGTTCGCTTTCACTCATTTGTACAGAATTCATGTTTACTCTGTTAGAGTTCCGAGGTTGGTCAAGCTCTAAGATAGATAGCTAGACCAGCAAGAATATGATACTACCAATCCTAGGATAGGTGTTAATACTTTTGAACATCTCTTTGGTGCTTCTGTTCCAAATCTTTTACCTTGCTATTCATTCCATCAATGGCCTTTTGCTATGATTTGGACTATGCTCGCTTCTTCAGAACCTATATAGCTCCTTATGTTTTGCAATCTCTCCTTCCTGAAGCGCTCACTCTACACACAGCCTCCATGAACTTAAGTACATGTATGTGTGTCACAACATGCCTACTCTACATGACACCTGTTTCATGAACTCTTAGTTATCCTCCTGCAATTTTGGTTCTGTCATTCTTTAGCTGTGTGATCACAGGCAAAACATTTACTTTCTATACCTTACATGAATATAAAAACAGATTTCTATCAAATTTATTTTGGTGATTAAATGAGACATGGTAAGTGGGGGCATCTAGTACAGTGTCTGTCACTTCAATCCAGTCTTCCGCATGTTGAAATAAAGCTATCACAGGTTGGACCTGCCTTTGTGTCTAGTAAGTGAAATAATGCATCCAAATGCATTTTTGTTTTCATTTATGTCAATAAACTTCTCAAGCATTTGTTATCTTCCAGCTGGCTATTCAAATTTTACCATAAGTGAAAACAAGAAGCAGAATAATAAAATGACATTACCAACCTGGGAAGGCTTATTTCCACTTCCTCTTCATGCATTCCCGAGAGCCATTTCAGGATTTGGTGAGTAGTAATTAGTTTTCCCACTTCTTCTATGTTAACATTTTCTGCAGGAAGTATGATGATTAAACTCAGTTCATTACTTTTATAAGGTAATTCCAAAACCTGGTAGCTCATAGAAGACTCCGAAAAATAACCTGGAACAGAAAAAATTAAATATTAAATATAATTAGCAATTCCCAAAGCCTGCTTTCAGAGTATGGTTTCTCACATTACCATATTTTGTTCTCAGAAGACCCTTCAGCATTGGAATCTTGACTGAAGAACCATCCTTTGTAGTGAAATTCATCAGCTGTGTATCCTCTTTTCTGAATTTTTGTTTCCACTCTCCCTTGAAATAAATAGCATTCACCAGGACAAGTCGAGTCAGAGGGCCAAATTCTTCCCCTGAAAACATGTCTTTAATTTTTCCTGTGAGATGAGTAGAGCAGGAGACAGAAAGAATTGTTTTAAATAGAATTAAAGCAAAACTTCCCTTTGCAAATCAGTTATGGACAATACATTGACATATGACAGCAAATTTTATTTTCTAAGTAATAAGTTATGACTGCATAATTTCTTATCTAAACTTGGCAGTTGAAGGAAATGGGAGCACTATTAACTTTTTCACTAGGAAACAGGTGCAAAACAGAACACTGACTTAGGCAAACTTGGACATACAGTCATTATAGTAATTGACTTTCTTCAGCCAATCATCTTTCAAAAAGAATAAAAACAAAATATCTCTTCCTGCTTATTAGTACTATTTAGACTTTATTTCAAGGTTCTTCAACAAGTCAAGCATAATTAATCAGTCAATGGTTGATCCAAACTTGCATTCTTGCAGCTGTAGCCTCTGACCACTGAAAAGGGACAAGAATGTTGGCATGATTTCCCTCCTCCATACCCCTACTCTCCAATCTCAATGTCCAAAAAATATTTCTAAGTTAGTAGAAATCAGTATGACTGGGTGTCTTCAAGCTGTCCTTGATGTGTCCTGCTAATACAAGTTACCTCATATAAGATTTAAGAAATAAAGCAGTAGCTCCTTATGCCATCACATTTGTTGTAGCTAAATGAACAAGGAATCACACTACTGTTAACTGAGGTCTGATATATGCTTGTTATTTCACATGCATTTTTTTAAACCTCCCAATAATCCTAAAATATTTTAATATTATCCTCATTTTAAATGGGGCATAGTTTACAATTTGCTAGCATTTGAACTTAGATCTATGTGGCTTTAAGCTTTTGTCCTTTCTATTATATCACTCTGTCGTCTGGTCGTGTAATGGCTACGAGTCGGGCTGTTAACCTCAAGGACAGCAGTTCAAAATTACCAGCCATTCACAGTGCTTTCCACTCCCGTAAAGATTTACAGCCTTTAAAACCCTATACAGTTTCACTATGAGTCAGAAACAACTCCACGGCATACAACCACCACCACCAATCATAGTCCCTTTGGAATTTTTGTCAACTTGTATTTATATTAAATTTAGATTACCATGTTTATGTTAGGACTATCAACATTTATTACTTTTAAACATTAGCACATTCAAAAAAGATGTGTTAATTATTTATAGAATATGTGGGAAAAAAGGCATTTGGAATTGACAGATCTAAGTTCCACCTGAGAAAACTGTTAATCCTTCTATCATGCTTCCCCCAAGAACAAAACAAAACAAGTAAAATACCTATGCTTGAAGAAATATTATTATTATTTTAATTCTTCCATTAGGAATTTTAAAAATAGGTGTCACTTTAAAAAAAAAAAGGAACCTGTATACTTTCAAAGTGGCTTACAATTTCTCTCACTTTTAAGATTTAGGATTAATTTGAATAACAGTAAAATGAAATAGATTGGATTCCTCAGATCCATCCTTTAGTAGGAAAATAGTCAGCCATTCTTTACTTTGGATATTAAAAACCATGAATACAATGGCAAATTATGATTTTATGAAACTGGGAACTTTACCATCTGTTTTGTTTTCTACCCAGGTACTTATTGCCTCTGCACAAGCTTTTGCGTCCTGAAAATCCACCAGTTTTATAGCACTCTGAAAAAATTCTTTGTTGCCATGGAGATACTCTTCTTTCACAGTGAATCCTTCTTGAAGGTAGAGGGCACTGGCAAGATTAAATGTAAATTCTTGTTTTTTCTCCGAGATGGCAGAGAAAAATGACTTCAGCCCAGAAAATTCTTCCCCTAAAAAATAATTATAATGTATACTGACATATTGCACAACATCAAAACAACAGCTTTTCAGTTTTGCTATCTAAGTACTCTGATTCATATCCCCATTTTTGCACCCTTAGGTATAAATAACGAGCCTTTCTAAGTTAGTATAAATATTTTAAGCATTTATTTCCTACAGAAAAAAATGCATTTTTTGGAGAAGTCTACTTTTATATAAGAAGGAAGAATGTCTATATAGATTTGAAATTTGTCAAATACAAAAATGCACATTCATTCAGGTTGAAGGTAACACCTCTTTATATAGCCAAATTTAACTTATTTTGTGTTGTTGGAAATTTAGGTTCAGAATCTCATTCTTTGCATAATGTGTACATGAGATACTTAACAAAAAGGAATGCTAATGAATGCTGATGGGTTTTTACAGTGATGGTGATAAGCAATCCTTTCAATATTACTTTTATTTCAGGTTAAGAAGGCATTCGTCTCTATGAGCAACTGCACCTGTCCGACTTTTGAAATTTACAAGTTAACACCTATAATCATCTCTACAGAGGTATAAGAATCAGAATTGCCTATTTCTTCAGGTTCATTGATCTATATATGTTGATTGTCTACATGACCAATAAAAATCTTCAGCCATTTCAACTAAACCACTGTCTGAATGAGTCAGCCAGAGTCAACTAATAGAATCATCCTTGGCCAGTTTTCTATTGTTGGATTATTCTGACCTCAGTGTTGTCATGAAGCTGCACATATTTCTGACAAAAGTTTACTGTGATACTTTACTTTGTAGGTTCCTATGCTGTGGTGGGAGGAGCTCTGGTAGCGTAGTGGTTACGAATCGGGCTGCGAACCTTAAAGTCAAGGCTTCGAAACTACCAGCCGCTCCGCGGGAGAAAGATAAGGCTTTCTACTCCCGTAAAGATTTACACCCTCGGAAACCCTGTACAGGGTCGCTATGGAACTCGACGGCACTTAACAACAACAACAACAACATGCTGTGGTGGGAGTCCTGGTGTGGAGCTGTGGGTTAATGTGCTCGACTGCAAGGTTGGTTTGAACCACAAGGTCAGCAGGTCAAGCTCACCAGCAACTCCTCGGAAACCTTATACAAGGTCTCTATGAGTCAGAACCAACTCCTTGGCACTTAACAACAATAACAACGACGTGCTGCAGGACTGAAGGATAAGCACTGGACCACATGGTCAGTTTAAACCTCAAGGTCAGCAATCCAAACTCACCAGCTGTTTCTTGGACGCCCTATATAGGGTTGCTATGAGTCAGAACCAACTCGACAGCACTTAACAACAGCAACAACAACAATCTATTACCAAAGGTTGTAGATATTTTCATTCCTTTATGACTTAATCCTGGAGCTCAATAAAATTAAAGAATGTAATTTTAAGTAATAGATTCTATAAGTTCTGTTTAGTTATATTTTCTGTTGTAGTTGTTGTTGTAGGGTACCATCAAGTGTCAAATTAATTCCAACTCCGACCTCATAATAATCTCTGTATAAAATTTTTACGTAATCTTTCTGGGAGCAGATTGCTAGGCTATTTGATCACAGAGCTGCTGGATACAATTGAATGCCAATCTTCCAGTTAGCAGCCAAACACTTACTCATTATACTAACAAGGAACTTTTAAACTTAAAAATGGAATATATTGAATTAATTTATATTGAAGAAAAAAGAAATGGTTCCTTATTGGAAGTTGTTCAAAGAATTTTAAAAAAGTGCTAAAGGAAGCAACTTACTACTAGATACCTATTGGAAATAAGGGGTGTTGTGTGTGTGCATACATTGTATTTATCATAACACTAACAGGGCTACCACTAGCGTATAGAGCATAACTGAGCAGCCTTATAGCCTCAAAAATTATCTAGGTGTGTGGAGCCTGCATTTTAGACCTCACTTGCTTCCTTGGTCTGGTGCTCTTTCTCAGTGTACAACTTGCACACACGTAAAGGAAATTCTGCAAGCTATTCTGCATTGTGGTTCAAACTGCAAGTTTTTCCATTTACTGAGATATTAAATACATACATAAAAATATTTTTAAATATAAAGTCTTACTTTCATATGAGGGGATTTGAAGAATTTCAGTAATTCTTTACAACCCTGGATTTCCTTAAATAAGGAAAAGAAGAGAGTTTATTTATTTTGCTTTTTATGACTTGGTTGCAGATGTAAATCTTCATGACCATTGAAACCTCAAAGAAATAGCTCAGTAGTTGGGAGGCTAGAGGGGACTTGTGAGTGAAGGAATAAGAACTTTTCAAAAGAATTAATTAAGGTCAGACATGAAATGGCAGAATTTCAAACCAATTTTCAGGAATTTGTAATTTATGGGTACCTTTAAAGGAATGCAGGAAAAAGAAGGGAAGTAAAAATAGTTCTAAGTCATTTGTCAGAGCAAATAGATTTATGTCATGTACTTAAGGTATAAGGCTAGGTGACAGTCGGCTGCCCTTTGATAAATCACTGGATTCAGAAGTCAATGAAAAAATGTCACCAAGTAGCATGAGGTTCGAAGAGAATATTAAGTTATCTGACTTATAAATTTGATGTAATCCACAGACAAACATTCACTTTTAGCACAGTTCAAAAGAAAGAGTAAATATGCATAGCTCATAATAATAAGCCAATGTTGTTGTTGTTGCAAGTGCCTTTGAGTCAGTTCTGATCCACAGCAACTCTGTATAGTGTTTCCTAGGAGCAGCTGGTGGGTTTGAACCGCCTACCTTGTAGTTCACAGTCCAGTGCTTATCCTATATCATCACACCCAGAGTCAAATAAGCAATGAGAATAAATTTATTTTCTTTCCTAAAAGAGAGCCCTGGATGATCCATGGGTCATCGGATGAATGTGACTCTTTTTTGATTATACCAGCCCTACAGAATGTTTAAGAATTTTTTCTGCTACTACAGGTCTAAAAGCCAATCATGTGTACAATGTGACTAACCCCATACTGAAAAACCAAGATAGTCATAGAATTATAGTTTAATCCAGAGGTCAATAGTAATCATTTCATCCATAGTCTTCTTTTTACAGTGATGAATCTGAGGTTCAGAGAGATGAAGTAAGTAACTTGAGAAGTGAGGTATCTAAAGTGAGGTACCAAATCATAAGGTAATTCATTGGCAGGCCTGGGATAGGAATTCATCACCAGTCACTTCCATAACCTCCTAGGAACCAAGAAACACCTTCACTTTAGCTTTTGATGAATATGTAGCAATGTCATGGTGGGAAAAAAATCTCAGCAAAATGGAGAATGTAAATTCTGAGCAGATGTTTGGACAATTAGGAAAATAAAGAGAACTGCAGACATTGAATGCTGTTGTGATATTGAAATGCTAGGCATTGGATGCTCATGAACAGATCCTCATAGAGTAAAATGGGTGTTACTCTGCCATAGTGGGACAGGATCAGGAGATTGGAAGCAGGAAAAGAAAAACATAGACTCACTCAACAGAGAGCAGCCCTTTTTGATAATCAGTGGGGAGTTGAAGGCAGATACAGGACTAAGGAAAACCAATGAGAAACTCACCTCAGACACAAAATTTTAGAGGGTGCCATAAAGCTTAGTAATCAAGATAAATAATATTCTATTATACTACCTTAAAATTAAATGTAAAAAAATAAAAAATGAACAAAGAATAAAATTACAATTAAAAGCAAGGTCAATATTATTGCTCTTTATCTATCTTACCCTTTGTATTCCAATACCCATCTGTCAACTTGTCATACTGTGGTGGCTTGTATGTTGCTGTGATGCTGGAAGCTATGCCACCAGTAGGGTCCGCCATTGTGGACACAGAGCTTCTAGATTAAGACAGACTAAAATGAAGGACCAGGTTATCTATGTCTTTTAAAAATTAGCCAGTAAAAGCTTAATGATTGAGAGTGAAACATGGTCTGATATTGCGTCAGAACATAGTGACAGAGTGACATAAAAGGCACTCGATTGGGAAAGCTGCCTCATCAAAGAAGAGTAGACCTTAATGATATGGACAAAGTAATGCTTTCAAGACCTTCATTTGCTGATGTGACATGACTCAAAAAAAGAAGAAATGGCTACAAACACCCATTATTAATAAGAGTTGGAAATGTATAAGGTAAGATCCTAAGAAAATTGGAAGCCATCATAAATGAAATGAAATACACAAAGATTGATATCCTAGGCATTCATGAGCTGAAATGGAATGGTATTAAGCATTTTGAATGGGAAATCCATACATCCTTCTATGCTGGAATTGATAAATTAAACAGGATGATATCATATTTATCCTCAAAAGACCATTTTAAGATCTATCCTGCAGTTCAACACTGCCAATGATAGGATAATATTCATATGCCTACAAAGAAGACTAGTTAATGATATGACTATTATGAAAATTTAAGCACAGACCAATCTGAAGTCTGAAATTGATCAAGCATCCAGTCAAGATGCATTGAAAATTATTGGTGATTAGAAAGAGAAAGTTGTAAATAAAGAAGAATCAACCATTGTAAAATATGGCCTTGGTGATAAAACCATAACAGAGATGGCATGAAAGAATTTTGCAAGAACAATGACGTTTTCATTTCAAACACCATTTTTCAACACCATAAATTGTGACTATATATGTGGGCCTTGCTGGATAAAATGCAGTGGAGCAAATTGACTACATCTGTGCAAAGTTTCAATAGAGAAGTACAATATCATCAATCAGAATAAGGCCAGGGGTGGATTGCAGAACAGAACACCAAATGTCACAGACAAGTTCAACTTTAAGCTGAAGAAAATTAGAACAAGTCCATGAATGCCAACACATGATTTTTAGAGACCATTTCAAGAATATAATTGGTACTTTAAACACTAATGACCAGAGACCAGATGAGTTGTGAGATGACCTCAAGGACATCATACATGACCAAAGCAAAAAGTCATTTAAAAGACAGAACGATCAACATTTATGTCAGAAGAGACTTTGTAATTTGCTCTGAAATATAGACTGGCCAAAGTAATGGAGGAAATGATGATATGAAAGAGCTGAATGGAAGGTTTCAAATGGCAGCTTAAGAAGATAAAGCAAAGTATTATAACGAAGTGTGCAAAACCTGGAGTTAGAAAGCCAGCAGGGGAGAACACACTCAGCATTTCCCAAGCTTAAAGAATTAAAGAGAAAAAAATCAAACCAAAATCCAAATAAAACATTAAAGGATTTTATGAGCAAACTATTGAACAATATAAGAAGCATCAAGGAAAGATAGTACAAATGAAAAGAGCCACTGTATGTACCAAAAATAATTGGTCAATAGTCAACCATTACAAGAGGTAGCATATGTTAGAGAACCAGTGACAATGAAGAAAGAAGTCTAAGTTTCATTAAAGGCCCTACCAAAAAGCAAGGATCCAGAAATCAACAAGATAACAACTGAGATGTTTCTACTGATGAATAAAATGCAGGAAACACTCACTCATCAATGCCAAGAAATTTGGAAGACAGCTACCTGGCCAACAAACTGAAAAGAATATGAGATCCGTATTTGTGCCCATCCTCCCCAAAAGTGATCCAACAGAATGAAGAAATTACAGAAGAAAATTTCTAATATTGACTATAAAAAAAGTTTTGCTAAAGATAATTCAAAAATATCTATAGCAGTACATCAACAGGGAATTCTCAGATATTCACACCAGATTCTGAAGAGGACATAGAATGAGGGATGTCATTACTGATGTCAGATGGATCTTGGCTGAAAACAGAGATTAGCAGAAAGATGTTTACCTGTGTTTTATTAATGATGCAAAGGCATTCAACTGTGTGTATAGTAACAAATTATGGATAGCATTTCATAAAATGAGAATTTCAGAACACTTAATTGTGCTCATATAGAACCTGTACATAGAATAAGTGGTAGTCACTAATGCAGAACAAGGAGATACTTCATGGTTTAAAATCAGGAAATATGTATGTAAGTATTGTATCCTTTTGCCATACTTATTCAATGTGTATGCAGAGCAAATAATTTGAGAGACTTCACTATATTTGAAAGAATTTAGCTTCTGGATTGAATGAAGACTAACAACCTGCAATATTCAGATGATACAACAGTGTTTTGCTAAAAGTAAAAAGGACCTGATGACAAACAAAGACTACAATATTCAGTATGAATTACAACTCAACATAAAGAAAACAAAAATTGTCAGAACTAGACCAAAAAGCAACACCATGATAAACATAGATTAAAATTTTAAAGGATTTCATTTTACTTGAATCTATAAGTAATGCCCATGGAAGCAGCAGTCAAGAAATCAAACAGTATATTGCATTGGGCAAATCTGCTTCAAAAGAGCTTTTTTTAAAAATGTTACAGAGTAAAGATGTCACTTTGAGAACTAAGATGCACCTGACCCAGCCAGGGTATTTTCAATTGCATCATATACATGCAAAAGCTAGAAAATGGATATGGCAGACCAAAGAATTGATGCATTTGAATTATGGTGTTGGTGAAGAACATTGAATGCATGTTGGACTGCATGAAGAATGAACAAATTTGTCTTGGAAGCAGTACAGCCAGAACGTTCCTTAGAAGAAAGGATGGTGAGACTTCGTTTCACATACTTTGCACATGTTTTCCTGAGGTACCTGACTGACATCATGCTTGGTAAAGAGTCTGCAAAAAACAGGAAAGCCTTTAATGAGATGGATGGCAGCAGCAACAGGCTCAAGGGGCAAACTGTTGTGAGGATGGTGCAGGACTGGGTAATATTCCGTTCTGTTGAACATAGCATCATTATGAGTTGGAGTTTACTCAAAGGCACCTAACAACAACAATCCTTTTTAATATTCCTATCTCATTACCAGCCTTCGTTTCTCCATACCACCTGTGCCTTTTATCCATGAAGGTCATTCTGTCCCCTTCTAACACTTAATCTCCTGTTTTCCATTGTTCTTTCTTTTCCCCACCTCTTTTATTCTCTCCAGGAATGTTCTTACTTTTTTTCCTGTTTTAATTTATCTTATTTTTCCCATATTGCAGTTACCCTCCATCTGTGTCTCTCTACCTTAGCAAGAAAGCAGAATGCAAAATTAGTTTTGCAGATTTTGTTATATATATGAAAATGGTAACATTCAATTGTTCACATGTACTATTCCAAAGAAAAATTTTCATAATTGTTCTTGTCTGTATGCACTGGACTGCAAAGTCATTTGAACCACAAGGTCAGTGGTTCAAGCTAATCAGCCTATAGGAAATCCTATACAGAGTCGTTATGGGTAAGAACCAACTGGATGGGACTTGACAACAACAACATAACCCTCAACTGAATCATTTTTCATATCTAAAATGAAACCAACTCCCACCAAGTTCATTCTGACTCTTAACGAATATTAGTGCAGGGAAAATTACTTAACTTTTCTTTGTGTTAGTTTCCTTATGTGTATATGTGGTTGTTAAGTGCTGTCAAGTCGGTTCTGACTCGTAGAGAACCTGTATAAGGTTTCTGAGGAGCAGACAGCCTCATATTTTTCCCACTGTGCAGCTGGTGAGTTCTAACCACTGATCTTATATTCACAATCCAGTGCTTATCCTACAGATCCAAGAAGTTTCTCATCTCTATTGTGGAGCCATAACTACCTCATTGGGTAATTATAAGTATTAAATGTGATCATGTATATCAAGTGTACAAAATAGTATCCAGTCACTATATACTATGTCTGTGTCTGATATCACCATCATTATTACCACGTCTACAATTTAGTGATATAAATAAAGATTTCTGTATTTCCGTATAAACTGTGTGTAAAGCAATTTTGATTTTGTTGTTGTTGTTAGGTGCCATCAAGCTGGTACCGATTCATAGCAACCCTATGCACAACAGAACGAAACACTGCCCGATCCTGGGCCAACCTCACAATTGTTGTCACATCGATGCTACCACTTTGCCAATCCATCTCGTTGGGGTCTTCCTCTTTTTCTCTGACCCTCCACCTTACCAAACATGATATCCTTCTCCAGTGACTGGTCCCTCCTGTCAATATGTCTGAAGTATAAGAGATGAAGTTTGGCCATCCTGGCCTCCAAGGAGCATTCTGGCTGTACTTCTTCCAATATAGATCTATTAGTTCTTTTGACAGCCCATGGTAAACTTATTCAAAAATTTAAATCTGTACAAATATCATTTCCTCATAAATTATTTCTATAATATTTTCATTAGGAAGCTATGATAAATGAAAGCAAATTATTTACAATTTTACATTTTATTATCATTTTTGTACTTTTCATAACATTTTTTAAATAAAGTGTTGTATGACTATAGCTTTCTCTCTAGTATTTTGAAAACAAGTTTAGTCACAAATTACTTTCTATAAATAATTATACATAAGAATCTCACCAGTTGAGTTTTCCTGAAGTCTTAAAGTCTGTCTTATCTCATGGTGTGCTTTTCCTTTTGCTCCCAGTTGGACCATTCCAAGAACCAAAGTGATCCCAAGGGGGGAAAATATAACATTGTTCTTGTGAGATAAACAAATGGCTTGATAAAGATCCACTGCAAATTCAGTATTTCTTTGAGCCACGGATCTTGAGGCTTGACTTCCAGAAAAAGCCAACAAGAGACTCCACAGCAGCATCATTTCCATTGTCTTCTGTGTATTATTTAATTCACACTTAATTATATATCAAAAAAGTCAGAATGTAACATACTTAAGATCAACATAAATCTTCTTATTAGAAATTCTACCTTGTTAGCATTAACTACCACACAGGTATGTATGTAATGCCAGTTTTCTGGCTATGTGATAATGGTAGTTTTTAAAACATATATTCACAATTTTAAAACCCAAACCAAAGTAGAAATCATCTCTGAAATGTTATAAATGGCAATATTATCTCTGAATAGTTACGTGATATTTTCTCCTAGTCCTTCTTGTGGCTTTAAACTGAATATCTCAAACTGTGATAACAAAGAAACCCTCTGTCCAGATTAATCTAAAGTGATTCTAGATTAAAAAGAGAAATTGAATAAATATTAACAAACTTCAGTGTGATTATGGGCCTACAATATTAGGAAGGTAATAGATTCTAGATCAAATATGTCATCTGACAATTTAAAGCAGTATTTAGAGCAAAATACTCCAAAGCCTACCTCCTACTTTTCCAAAGAGAGTGAGAGAAAAAGAAAAAACTGATAAAATTATGAAGAAACAAAGTGACATTCAAATGTAAACACCATAGTAATAAAAAATAAAACAACTAAGAAAAAAAATCAACTAAAAATTTGACAAGAAACTGCCAAAAAGGAGACTAGTAGCAACTGAAAACTGTAATCAATGCAAGGCAACACTAATGACACCCTATTAAATTGCTCTCCAATAAAATTGCAAGAAATCCAACCATCTGAATGAATGTTGCAATTTTACCACAAACTTGTTAGGAGAATATTGACTCTGAAAGCCCCATAAAGATTAATAACAATATATTTAGTTTATTGGTAACAGGTACTTAATTTATTTGGTATATTAGAAAATATTCTATATTAAATTAAAAAATAATCCTGATTAAAGTAAAGATGGAAACTTCCAGAGAAGAGTGTTATTAGTCATAAAGAAATAAAGACTTGTGTTTCTAGATAATTTCCAGGCCTTTAGGAGAGCTGCCATGGTCCTCAAATGGGTTAGGTGTCATTACGAATCACTATTCATAAAGATTATTATTCAAAGAGATTACTAATAGTCAAAATTCTCTGTGGAGTCATTATATAAATATTTTAAATTTTTGCTAATATATGTAGTTATAGTCTATTTGCTTAAATATATATTTTATAAAGGAAGAAAACTTTAAAATGCAGTCCCAAGTTATTGTTAAAAACTCTGTTAATATACTGCAAATACAGATGTATACCATCTAGCAAATAGTCTATTGAGGAATGCACTGCTGTGTGAGGTAGTGAATGGCAATGTTTCAATAGTACCAGCCACTTACTTAGAGCAAATTTATGTGTAAAAGAAATTTTTGTGCATCATTAGGTTCTAATATATTGAATTTCTCAGAAAACTTCTGACCAAAATATGTTTGTAGATATGTAAATAATCAAAATGTAATTAACCCATTGAAGACATAAAATGACAAATCATTGAATATGTCTTTCTGAACTTGTTTTATATTAAAATAATTGACATTATTATGAGGAATATAACTTTCCCTTGTAGTGGAATCTATGCATCAGAAATTTACTCTCATTATTTTTGACAAACTTAATAATTAAAATTTATATTCTTTAAGAATTTTGGGCACTTTATAAATTGCAGCTTCACAGAAATAACGTTTTAATATTTCACTTACCTCATTGGGCTTTGGATCACATCTCAGCAGAAAGCACAGAGTACAGGTGGACTGAACAACCCAATGAGCAGTCCCATAAAGATTTGACCTTCTAATTTATAGTGACAATATGAGGAGACTAAAATTAATGCATTACTTTGAAAATCTTTAATAAATTCTTCATCAAAGTGAATTGATATAGCATTCCTTAACTCGATTAAACATTTGCAGTCCATGTTATTACATACATATTTCATTCAAAACTTATTTAGTTTTAAGATACTTACCTGAAATTGTCTTCTGATAATTCACTGTAATGTAACTAAATTGTGCTTGGTGAGAAACACTATTACTAGGAACACCTAATCAGCAAGGCCAGTTCTGTCTATCATGAAGTTTGCTTGATTAATTTCTCTGAAACTGGAGCAGGTGTTTGCTGCTTTTATGTAAAAGGACTAACATGATCTAGTTAATGATCAATGTTTAAAGATGAAAGAACTGAAAGATAAAATAATTCCGTGATCTTAAAAAAAAAATCATTAAATTTCTAATATTACTTCAGCTATTATTCTACTTTTATAATAAGTAGAAACTAAATTTGGAAGAATGTGCCAGGGGTTATAAATCTCTTGGTAATTAGTTCTTTTTGTTTCTCATAGGCCTCCCACATCAGACTACCAACACACCCCCTCATAAATATTGCAGAATGTCTATGAGAAAAGGAATAAAGCTAAATCAAGTCCTGAATGCAGAGACAAATCACTGCCACATTTAGAGTTCCCAACAATCCATCAAATTATGCAGTACTCAGAGAAGTTTCCTGTAGATACAAGGCCAATTTGAATCCTTAGGAAAAAGATTTCATATTGTAGAAAATATATCCTTTATGTTTAAATATATATATTGAGTTACCAATTTGTGTTGTTGTTAAGTGCCATCAAGTTGTTTCCGATTCATAGCGACCCTGTATAGGGTTTGAGCGACTGGTGAGTTTAAATGCTGTTCTTTTGTTCAAACTGACCTTGCAGTCCAGCTCATTAAAACCCACAACGATTTACCAATTTAGATCATTATAATACTAGTTGTTGTTGTTGTTAAATGCCATCGAGTCAGTTTTGACTCATAGTTACCTTGTATAGTTTCCAAGGAGCAGCTGATGTGTTCAAATGACCAAATTTGTGGTTAGCCATCCAGTGCTAACCACCCCAGGATCCACCAGCGACTGGTGAGTTTGAACCTCCAACCTTACAGTTCAGACTGACATTATGGTTTAGTGCTTATCCTATAGCACCACACCAGGACTCCAGATAAATATAGACACATAATCAAATAGTTTTTTATTTCATCTAGTTCAAATCAATCACCTGGTATTAACCCAATGGCCTCTAAGAAGAGAATTGGCAAATTGGATCAGTTACAATAAAAAAATATGTCAACATTGATCATCAAATGTAATACAGTTTCTGATTGCTGTTGTCCTTGTGGTTGTGGTTGGGTGCCTCATGTCAGTCCTAAACTCATGGCAACCTCATGTGTTAGAGTAAACTTCTTCATAAAGAAGTCCTGCTGTGGTAATGTAGGGTAAGTAAGTACTGGACTGCTAACTCTACTGTTGGCAGTTCAAACCCACCAACCATGCCGAGGAAACCCTAAACAGAGTCTCCATCAGTCAGAACTGACTCACAGCAAACACCACCACCAACAACAACAACAACGATTTCTATGGAAGCAGTTTGCCAAGCCTTTATCCAAGGAGTTTGAACTGTAAATAGGTTTGTAGCTGATGGTAAACTGCTCATGGCACCTATGCTTCTTAAATTGTTTATTTAAAAAAGGTTTTCATGGACCCTGCTAACCTCTTTCTATGTCCTTATAGAGTTAAAACAGCTAATAGGCTTGAGAAATCTAATGACTTTTATAAGCCATAATTTCTTCATTTAATAAAATGCTTAATTTTCCATCTGTTGTTGTTGTTAAGTGCCGTCGAGTCGGTTCCGACCCATAGCGACCCTGTACAGGGTTTCCGAGGGTGTAAATCCTTACGGGAGTAGAAAGCCTCAGCTTTCTCCCGCGGAGCGGCTGGTAGTTTCGAACCGCTGACCTTAAGGTTCGCAGCCCGATTCGTACCCACTACGCTACCAGAGCTCCTTCTAGACTTCGACAAATGTTTTCTAAATAATGAAATTTATTCTATTAACATTTGCTTGAACATAAGCAAATCCTATTCTAGCTTTACCGTAACACTGTTAAGATGATTTTCCAAAAGCAGAATTGTGAAACACTCGAAAACTATTATCTTTCCTGTTCTACTCCTCAATTCAGGCAATTCACAGATTACAACCAAGTTCCAGTCACAAATCTGTCTTTAAGTTGAATTTATACATAAGTTAAAACAGGTACAGTTCATATCTAAGGTCAATCAAATGTTTGTCTCAGTATATAGTATATTTCTGTTGTTGGTAGGTGTTGTTGAGTAGTTTCAATGCATAGTGACCTTACGCTTACATGAAAATACTTTAACATAATAATGCATCACAATGTACTGCCTGTTTATTACTATGACTGGTTTACAGAGGTTGGGTCACACACACTGTGATTTGTATGTAAATCAGATGTTCATAATCCGGGTACTGTCTGTATACAAATAATAAACCTGAATGTGCAAGACTATCACTCAATCAATACTTTTCTCTTCATTTAGTGACACTAGCAAACATTCATCACGAGTACCCTTGGCTACCAAATTATTATGTCTGTACCTTACTCAGAACCTAATGTGATTTATCCAAGAAAGGGCCATTAATTTTTTTGCCATGACAGAGACAGCCACTCTGTCTTATTAAAGTCATATAATGAAGTTGTTCTGTAAAGACCTTGTGTTACAGCATTTTAAACAGAATATGCATTTTCCTGTCTCCTGGGGAGTAAAAGCCTATGACCATGAATTCCTCCTCTCTGGCTAAAGATCTTTAATACATAATAAAGATAGCAAACTGTCCATAAAACATTACTGCAAACCTTTAAACATGTTTCCTCATTCAACATCTCTATTTTTCCCCAATAGCATTAGGAAAAAAATTATTCATTAGTGAAAGCTAAAGTGGCTTGTCACAAAATTCTTGAGCACCAGCACTAACTACTCCACTATAAAGAATAAACCTGAGACTCTGCACTATATTACTAATGAAATGCTGAAGTTAAAATCTCATAAATTTTCCTAATATTTTATCATCTTATTGAGGGCAAAAATGTATTTAGCTTCAAATTTTAAAGGCATACAAAAGACTTCTGGAAACATGGAAGATTATGCAGACATGCTACTCAGAACCTCTACAACAAA